GATACTACCGACGCATTGTCCGCATCAGAGAACGTTGCGTACAAGAGATATGCCGCCGATATATGGTAGTGTATGATAAAGCGAGACGTCATTTGTCACACACTTTCAGATTTTATAGTTTATCAAGCTTGGGACTTCCGTGGTGTCAAAATAATTGAGTAAATAAAAACGACCAACAACATTAATCTTAGAACAATTTAGTTACATAATATATTGTATTTACTAGTACATTATCAGGAATATCCAAAAAATTAAATTTTAAAAACAAAGTTTGAGCGATTTTTATTTTGTCAACTGTTCGCTCCTGGACCTCCTTGGACCCATTTTCTAAAACTATAAAGCTTTTTCGTTCTTGGCATTGAAGTGAAAAATTTATCCAAATCCCGTCGGTACAAGTTGTAGGCGGTACATTGATTAGCGGACAGATAGACCGACAGACGGACAGACCAACGAAAATCAGTGGCATCGTTGTTCGTGTTGTATATGTAGCCTAACATCCAAAAACCACAATTTTCAAAAAGCGTTAACTTTATCACTCGTGTCCAATATAAGTGTATATTTGCTCATTGGAGCTCAAGTTTCAAGATATTTAGTTTCTCGAATATGTCGACCAAGTAGCTCAACTTCATCGAAAATAAACCATCTCGAAACGTGTCGGCTTCCGGTCGGTTTTCTTCTTCTAGAAAAACGGCGATTTCATGTCTCAATTCAAAAACACGTTCGAGGCATTCCCCACGCGATAACCATCTTGCCTCGCAATAGAAAAATAATGCTTAATGTACTGCACCCATATCTTTACAAAGTGCAGAGAAGATTCTAATTTTCAGAGGTCTCATTTTTATGTAATTAACTACTGTTACAACCGTAGCACAACATTCAGGCCAGAAGACATTTCTGTAGAAGCCAGGCTTGTATACTTTCAAATCTACCGGACATTGAATGAGCCCCATATAATCATTTAAGATATAATGCGAGAGCTGTTGCTTTGAGTTCTATAGGTTTACAGAAAAGTTGTTCTTCTTCCACAGATGTGCCATCGCAAAATCGAACGTGGGCAATAAGATGAGCATATCTATTGCTGACCGTTGCCTTATCAAGCTGAATTAAAAACAACCGCATCATTTTATAGAGGTATGGACTCCAATTTTTTGGTAAAATTATCTCCAAACATATACTAAGTGACATATAAATCCGAACACCCAGTTTAAATGGTTTTATTTTAATAAAATTTTGTATAAGTACTTAATGAAGCATAATGAGTAAATGATAAAAATTTCAAAATGATTGCACTCCTCTAAGCCCTTTGACCTTTAAATATGTGTGGATGCACCCTGATGTGCTACGCATTCTCCAACGCGCATAGGCATGCTTCTGATCAGGTGGTCAATGTCCTCCTGTGGTATCTCATTCCAGGCAACCACCAACTCCTCTCGAAGTGCTTCTAGAGTCTGAGGAGGACGTTGCAAATTGAGCAATCTCCTACCCATTATATCCCACACGTGCTCAATTGGAGATAAGTCGGGAGATCTTGGTGGCCATGGTAACAATGTGACATCATTATGTTGAAAGAAGTCTATTGTGACTCTTGCAACATGTGGTCGGGCATTATCTTGTTGGAAAGTTGGATCTGCCAGGGTGTCAAGATAGGGTAAAAAATGGGGTTCTAGAACTTCGTGGATATAACGCTGCGCGTTCATGTTACCTCTGATGAAGATTAAAGGTGACCTGGAACCATAAGCTATAGCACCCCAAACCATAACTCCAACAGTGTGATGAACATGTCTTTCAACAAAAAACTGTGGATTCCTCCTTTCACCACGTCGCCTTCTAACCCTGGCACGACCATCGTGCATGCCTAAACAAAATCGAGACTCGTCAATAAAGACAATACTGTTCCATTCCTGATCCCAGAGTGACCGTTGTCTGCACCACTCAAGGCGATTACGTCGGTGTTCTCTAGTTAAAGGGAGGACTCAGTGTGGCCGGTATGAAAACAAGCCAAAACTTCTCATTCGTCGGTAAACACTTCGCATGCCAATAGGCCTTCCGTGTTCTGCAAACCATTCATTTGCAATGGACCTGGTAGTGGAATGGCCAATAATCTTAGGCGGCGATCTTCACGGTCTGTTGTTCTACGGCGGCGTCCAGTGCCCCTTGCTCCTTGCGTACGGCGTTCTCGAAGCCATGCCTGACAACACCTAACCACAGTGTCTACACTTCTTTGCACTCTAACTGCAATTGCCCGAAAAGAAAATCCAGCTTCCCGAAGTCCCACTATATGGCCCCTATCAAACTCACTAAGTTGACGAAATCGTACAGGTCTCCGTACTCTAGGCATCGTAACCGATCGTAAAGGATGTCAAGAACCAAAATCCGCCAACGTTGATTCTTTACTGCGGCTGAAATATTCATTTTTAGAGCGTTAGTGAATTAAAAAAAAAGCAGTATAAAAACCGGAATGTCCAACTGATAAGGCTGAAAATTTTTTCACTTGTTATTTACAGTAAGATAAATACATTCACCAACTTTTATTAAAATAAAACCATTTAAACTGGGTGTTCGGATTTATATGTCACTTAGTATAGTTTCTACAATTTTAATTGCAGCTATCAAAATAAGCTCTTTACCAATAGGGTGAGGCTTCTTACATCATTTCATGTGGAACTTTATAAGAGGCAAGTAAAGCTTTTTCATTCGCAGTCAAAGTTTTTTTTATAAATGATTTTTGCTTTCCGTATAATTTTAATTTTAACTCGAAGAATTCTCGGGGTTTGTTAACGTACTCACTATGAAGCGTTGCCAAATGTCGTTTAAGTTTATTAGGTTTCATGCTATCTGCTGCTAAGGTTTTTGAGCAAATGATATACAGAGGGCACTCTTCTTCATCGACTTCAGTACATGTAAACCCAAAATTTAAGTATTCTTGAGGATATCTTCTTGATTTTATTTTTTGAACCTCTCTCGCCTGTGCACTTATTGATGCTTCACTAGTATTGAATGCTCGCTTACACCCACTTAAAAATGTATCCATGGACCTTTACTCTATTTAGTTTATACTTTTGATCTACATACTTGCCTTCAGCACTGTAATATTCAAAAGTATGCAGATGACACACAGCTAACTCTGTCTTTTGATTCTTTGGACATGCATGAAGCATCATATAAATTGAACTTAGATCTAGTTAACATTGAAGAGTACTGCAAAAGACATTGTCTGAAGACCAATGCTTCAAAATGTTCCACCATGCTATTTGGCCCAAAACAGTTAGTACAACGGTTAGATGGCACAATTGTTCCTAGTCTTAACGAAACCCATATTCCTATAGTAGACCATGCGAAGTATTTAGGGATCACCATGGATTCAGATTTGAGGTTTAAGCAACATGTTACGCATTTATCTCGCTTAACATACATGCGTTTGAAGATATTATACACCAGTCGCCATATTCTGAATTTCAAGACTCGCAAAAACTGGCTGAGACTCTGGTTCTATCTTTAATAAATTATTCAATTGCTGTTTACTTTCCTTGTCTTAATTACGTGACTAGATATCGAGTACAAAAAATTCAAAATAGCTGCTGTAGGTTCGTTTGTGGTCTGCGAAAGTTTAGCCATGTGTCTAAGAAGATCAATGAGCTTAAATGGTTGAGGGTTGACCAGCTTTTCACATATATAGTAATTTAATAATTTTAGTAGAACGAATAAAAATCAATAGGCTACCTACTTATCTACTAAAAAGGCTGGTACCACGTAATGATCTCAATTATAGGAATCTCAGACATAACTCTGACTTCAATATACCTAGTTATGGGAGCAACATTTTCCATCGTAGCTTCACCTACAACGCTGTCAAGGTGTATAATATGACAATTACAAAAAGAAGGGAATACTTGCATTCAAGAGAGCCATTAAGAACCATCTTCTGGGGTCTGCCAGCCAAGCTGGCTGATATATTTTTTTTTTGTTGTCTTTATTGTTTTTTTTTGTCAGAGCGGGCTATGTAGAATAGATAGATTAATCTACTCGTATTTAAGCTTTAATTATTGTATATATTATTTAGTCGATTGCTATTAATTGTTATATCTTTCCTTTTGTATGTGTTCCTGCGCTGTGAAGTTAAGTGGTAAAGTAACCAGCTGGCTAAACTTCGCATCGCAGTGTGGATGAATTAATAAAGACATTATTATTATTATTATTATTATTATTAATTGGTATAAATTATTAAAATAATTATTAAAAATTGGGTCGCGAATAGTGGAAGGTTGAGAAATGCTGCAGTAAGGCAAATAAACTCTACATGAATGCCCACATACATTTGTTACCTTGGTTTTTTTAAAAATAATTATTTACATAGTGGGGGTCGTCTTATATTCGTCATGGCCTGTGTATAGATTAGGAACAATAGAGGTCCAAGTATCGAACCTTGAGAGACTCCACGTTTAACCTCAGCACACTGAGATATTTGGCGGTTGTTGTTTTCTGCCTGTCAGGTAGCTTTCTTGTAATACCATAGTTTGTTGAAGTTTCTGGAACAAGGATTTGTCTTTCCGTCATTGTCCGTCTGTGCGGTCCGTAGGAAATTTGCTCTTGGTTAAAGTATTGTAAATCAGTACGTCTGTCAGATCGGGCTGCCTAGATACCAGACTAAGTAAGGGAGAGATAAGGGATGAAGAGAGAAATGAAGGAAGGTGGGAGACCAAAGAGCAGGAGGTGCGTCGGTTTGAAGCGTCCTTGGTATTGTTACATAGTACTCGAGAATTTTAAACTGTTCCTAAAATTAGTTAAGAATTGGTCGAAGTAGAAAAATTGTAATTTCGTTTGGACAGAAAGTAATACGAATCAATTTTGTTCACAGTGCAAGCCGAAGCCTTGTGTGCCTGCGAACTTGCTCGACTGTCTAGTCGACTGACTTACGTAGCAAAGTGTTGCTATGCGATTTACCCGGGTTTAAAATGTAATAGCTTACCGTTATTGGAGGTGGCCATCGTTGGAGCATGGACATGTTCGTCCTCATCGTCATCCTCGTCATCAGGAGACAATGTGCTAGTGGTGGTGAAGCGAACACCTCTAGTACTGCCTCCAAGTTTGATGCCGTTCCCTCTGGACGAAGACACAGACGAGTTTTTTGGTTCTCTGGCTTGCCCTATCTTTAGACCGCCACCTCGCTGCACCTGAAACATATAGAGATAACTTCCTTTTTGGCAAAGCTGCATGCAGATGTCGTGAAGCAGATTTTGCTCAAATCGTAGCATATCTAAAATAAAGCAACACAAAGTAAAGCTAAAAACAATCCATGACTACCTAATTGCCTCAATAGTAATTGATATTTGAAAATGTCAAGTTGTAACGATTTCTTATTTGAAACATATCTACATGCATTTCACTGAAATGTAAAACACTCTACATAAAGATGATAATGCATTTTTATTCAGTTCCGCAGATATACTGGGTGTTACAAATTAAACCCTCATCATTGGGATCTGGGAAACGGTTAGAGATACCAAGCGACTTAAGTGATGGATTTTTTCTGACTTTGCACAACAACATTGCCACTTTTTCTCATGTACAACATGGTATCATTAGAATTTCAATATAACGTTTCGCCTATTGACCTCCAGAATCAACTTCTAATGAACACATTGGATTTTTCCATAGATGAATAGGGTTTCTTATGTCGGTTTTAAAAATATGTAATATGTTATTCTTGGATATTGCCAAACCTCAGTTATTTCCCAGGTAGGTCTTAAAATTGTCGACTGCAATTTTTTTCGTCTTCCGGATTTATTGAAATGTCGTTGTTTATTTCCTGGTTTTATTTGAAATGGGTTTCTATAATAAATTGCATATTGGCATTTCCACTCTTTCTCTACAAGAGGGCGTAATCAAATTCTCGATTCGACGTTTTTGCTATCGATCTCCATCCTCAACTTTGTTTTTTTCTTATGGATCACTGAGATTTTGCGCAGCCGAACACAATTTTCGATTCTCCATTTAGTTATGATTATATTATACAGAGTGACAAAAAAAAGGTAAACACCTACGTATGTTTATTAGAATTCAAGAGTTTTTCACATATCGAGTGAACTTGCCATGAACACGTGATAAAATGGTCGGGTTTTCTGTTAAGTTGTGGAGGCTGCATGTATTACTTGGCGATAAAGAAGCATTCAGTTTGTGATGCCAGAGAGATGTTCACTAGTGCTGATGTCAGTTGGCCTGGATCAGTGCATGATTCCAGAATATGGAGAAATTCACAGACTGGATCACAACTAATAAATAGAGCAAATGTTGTACTACTTGGCGATGACGGTTATGGTATTGAGCCATGCCTTATGACTCCCTTCAGAAATCCTACTCCAGGTGCAGAGATAAATTATAATAAGCTTTTAAAACAATAAGAGTTATAATTGAACGCTGTTTCGGCCAACTGAAATGCTGGTTTCCTATCCTACAGTATGTTTGCCGCGTAAAGTTGGAAAATGTGCCGAAAATAATTATTGCTTGTATTGTACTCCATAATGCTGCGAAGAGCTTGAGCGATCCTGACTGAAGTCGTTGAATAAGACCCAGATGAAGATGAAGGAAATCATGAGAGTGACGAACTTCCTCTCCCCCAACTAGGTCAACAAATATGAAGAAACTTGAGTATTATAATAAATAGTTTTACTGATTAAAGTGTATTTATAAGTTGTAATAAGTTTTATATTCGTGAACATCCTAAGTTACAGGTGGCCTCTATCGCTGCATCATTTCTAATTTCGTTTTATAATACTCTTGTTGTAAAATACTTGTTTGGTACTGCTGTAATAGCACTAGACGTTGCAGTTCTTTTGTAGTTAGCCCTTTGGTTTCCTCAGTTTCGTATTCCTCTGTTGCTAATTTTCTTTTTGGTGGCAATGTCTTCTGAATTGCTGGCGATGTAATACTAACTGTTTACTCACTGCGCTTGGTATATAGTTCACTTCCTTCTTCTTGAACACTACCAACCTGAATGACACCTCTAATTTTCCCAATTGTAGGATTACAGTCACCATCCGTATCTTTCAGCAACTTTCTTTCCCAATCTAACAATTTAATTGCTTTATTACCAGTTTTTTTAGATCTGTTTTTTTCTTCAACCTTGATTTCATGTTGTTGATTTTTTTTAAATAAACCTTTGGTTTACCGAATGTTGATTCATATTTTTTCAACATCTTCTTCAAGGCATCATCCTTTCTTATTTTTATTTTTGGAACTTGTGACTTTTGCAGAATAATGGGAGCAATGGTAATTTCATCTGCGATGAACTGCAGATCGTTGCCATTATTTTCTATAGTTTCCTCATCACTTGAGGGTAACATGCTTATTAATTTGATAAAAAACTGTATCCAGTAAAAATCCGGAACGGTCTTTGTAAGCTCTGTAGTATGTACAACTGTCAGTGATGCTGAGTGAACGAACTCCCACGTCAACTACAAGCTGGAACAAGTCAGGACATGTCGCTCAAGATACAAATACCCGTCAACCTTTTACTTGTTCTTGGAAGATATCATCGCGAGTATAATCATTATGAATATGAAAACAAGGATATGCTTACACTTCTTCCTTTGTCTCCGATGCAAGACCTTATACTTTTACCTTATGCTTCCGAGAATATGCTTCTCTTTTATGAATGCGGCTCATTAAACTATGACAGCCGGGACATTTTGTAAATTTCTAATTACAATACGCCCCAGGATAAATATGACCGCCACGAAAGGTTTATTGCCCGCTGGGGCGTATTGTAGAGGTTTACCCTATATCGTCGAATACGACAGTTTGGCCTTTTCTCTTTTCGCCCATATTGGATGCTACCTCTCACAGCTGAACATCGGCGTAATCGTTTGCTCTGGCGTAGAGAAAGAATTCGATGGGACCGGGAATGGAATCGGATGGTCTTTAGTGACGAATATGACAGGGAGCGTCACGTTCACCACACCATAGGAAGTAGTGGAGCCTCATGTTATTCCATACCTAACCACCATCCAAAACCCGATTTTTCGGCAAGACAATACCAAACCGCATGTGTCCAAAGTGTCGTGAGCCTTCGTGGATCAACATCGTATCAACCAATTACCTTGACGACCACGATTGGCTGACCTATATCCAATTGAGCATGTCTGGGTCATGATAGGTCGCACCGTCTTGAATCTGTAACACCGTCCAAAAACTTTAGCAGCTCTTACTCGCGGAGTTGCAGAAGCCTGGAGTGAGATACCCCAACAGGATATCGACCACCTCATCAGTGCGACGCCCAGGCATGTCAATCAGTGTAATAGAAATCGTGGATCCTCAACACGTTATTTTTATTTAGATTTAATCATTTTACTTGTACTGAATATACTCGTATATGTCAAAAATTATTAAAATCGGATAAACATACGTCGGTATTAACCTTTCTTTGTCACTCAGTATGTATTTATTTATGTCACTATAAATTTCTCATATTTAATTAGATTAATATTATTCTTAGTAGTGTTTAAATGTACAAAATTCCAAGATAGCGTCCATGTGAAAAAACAAAGTTGGTGATGGAAGTCTGAAGAAGAAACCTCGAATCGAAAAATTGAATACCCCGTCTTGTAGCAGAGAAAAAGTGGCAACCTTTATGGGCAACCTATTTTTAAATCCAACTACAAATAATGGCAGGAAAACATTAAAATGATTTTAGGAAAATTTGGCATCTTCCGTCTTTCTCCGGAAGTAGTACTCGAATTTTAAAACTGTGTAAGAGGCATTTTGTTAATTACATAAATACGCAACTTTGTGACTAACTATCTCTTATCGTCCCAATAGTCGAGGATCGAATTTGAAATGCCGGGTAGGTCTAACAGGTATCTCTCTTTAAAAAACAGTTTATTACAGATGGCAGCCCTATACAGAACATGTCCTCAAATCAAATGTCCTGCTAACTTAATGGTTTCTGGTATAAAATCCCTTCTTCGTAACTTGAAACTCACGTCTGTCCAGATCCATCAAACAATACTTAATTGCGAGACCCATAACAGGTGAGAACAAGGAATATCCTTCATGGTTTGAGGTTCAAATGTGTTAAAACGGAAATAGTACCTATACGTGCCCGGAAATAGCATAACCTGCTCCAATGTACTAGCACTTAAACGGGATTCATTCGAGTCTTGAAAAGATGGTCTATATGAGTTAAAGGAAACCAAAATGAATTTGGACTACTTAATCGAGACACGACTCAAGGGTCATTCTGCAATAAACCAAAATCATAGTGGGTTGCTGTGACGGCACCGGCTGGCTTACACCAAGCAGGATAGACTCTACCATACAGTTGCTGTTAAAAGTTAAAAAGACATTTCCAATATTGCATCGAGCGCAATGAAAATGAAAGGTGAATCTGTCGCGAACTGTACCCACTCCTTTAGCGAGGTTGATATTCTGCCATACAAGTATCGAATGTAACAGATGCGTTGCTATCATTCTCGGTGCAGTTTCTCTTCGATTTGCTTGAGAAGATGCCATCTACTGGTCATGGCGAAACGTCAAGAATAAACAGTCACCGACACTGGCCTATCAGCCCAAGAAGAATCAATCTTTGGCCGCGAAAGCCTCGTACAAATCGTTACCTCTAATAAAAGACATCTCTCACGAATTTTATTTTGATCATTTTAGAATTATTTAGAATACTCAAAATGTTTTCTAAATTATATACGAGTCTAATACTCTTAATGGAGAGACGTGGCTAAATGAAAATCTTACTGATGGTGTGGTTAATATTAGCAACTATTGTTTCTTGCGTTGTGATAGAGAATCTCGTGGCGGTGGAGTTGGAATCTATGTTAAATCAAATTTACACGCTGAAAAGTTAGATATTCAAACAAATTTTGGTGAGTACTTCGAAAGCATTTGGGTTAAAGTGGTTGCGGGTAAGTGTGAACTGTTAGTAGCTGTTTTGTACCGACCACCCTCTCAAAATATACAACAATGTGCAGATTTATTAAATGGTTTCCTACCCAGCATTTCGTTGTATCATCATAACATCGTGATATTGGGAGATCTTATAATATAATATAGTTTTGAGATGATGGGGTTCACACAAATCGTAACGGAACCCACTCGTGTCACAGATAGTACTGCAACATTAATCGGTCCAATATTTTTAAATAATCCTCAAGCATGCAGCTAT